TCCACTGGGTGTCAATACTAGCTGATTTTATAACTTCATCCAAGTTTTCTAATTGTAAACTGCTCTTATGCAACTGTTCGAACTGTTTCAATTTTTCCTTCCTTTTAGAACTCCTTTCAAGATAATAATACGTAAATATCAACAATGTGTTCATCCACATTTACTGGTAAAGAAGCTGCCCCTTTTTCACAGCTGCTAAATTTAAGACGTGACAGGTGCACCTCATAATCTGCAAATCTTACCTTTCCTTTCTCAAGATGCCTGCAACACAAGTCTTCAAGCCTACCAATACTGGTGCATTATTGGCACCAAGTGCTAAGCAATTATCCAGAGGAACTGCATTTTCTTTTAAAGTTTGAATAATTAGCTGTGTGCTGTCAAATCCTTAAAGTGGGGACAGAAATTAACCTCAATTCTGAAGGGAACTAATGGATTAAAAAGAAACAATTGGATACAGTTTTGAATCGCTTCCATCCGTAGAGAGGCAGAACGGAGCTGTTTTAACGCAATAAATAACTGAAGATTTATTTTCAAATCCATTCTTTAACAATTGCACCTGTTTCAGTCCTTGCACTTGAGTATTTCTTAGCGATTTCACTATCGGGAAACATTTTTCTAAATAAAGCTGCCGTGTGATCCGATGCATTCAGTGGCAGGTTGTGCAGTGGCAGGTAAAAAGGCAGAGAACAGACATTCTGCATTAATAACTTTTTGGTCCTTCGTATCTGAAGAAAAATTTTTCGTTTTTTTCAAAACAACTCATGTTGTTCTCGTGTATGCACATGTTTGAGAATATCAGCCCTTCCACCATGTGAAATCGAAAAATCGCAACGACAGACGGTAAACATCGCAAATTTATTACATTTCCTTGAGGAAATAATGGAACGAAAGCCAACTGTGTACGATTTTTGAAACGTAAACGAGTATTTCACTTTCTCGCAGACATAACAAAAGATGATAATTTCTAAAATTATTTCCTGAAGGCACGTGTACTCGCACAACTCCGGACAAAATGACCGAAATAACTAGAGAACATCCAAATAACAGCTTGCTTTGTCCTCATTGGCTAATACATGCCAGATGACACGCAGTGGAGCACAATGCCCATTGGAGAACTTGAGAATGATGTTTCTGGATACGTATATGCTCTCACAGAAGTTATCTAATATCTAATTCGCAAGATTTTGTTTTAGATATAATTTAGAAAAAATTCAATTGCTTCCAGACGTCCAAAATCACTTTTTTTTTTTGTTCATATAACAAAAGTATTAAGCCATGTTCCATAAAAATCGTGCGAAATTTTAAAAATAAGAAAAAAGTCGGGAGAAATATATTGTAAATCGGGTTGGCGGGAGAGTGGTCGAATATCGGGAGTCTCTCGCCTAAATCGGGAGTGTTGGCAACTCTGTCTTCATTATCAGTAACGGTATTTTCTGGATCTAGGACCATACTAGATTTTACCATCCGTTAATTGTTTCATTTGGGTGTCATCTCAATAAAAAATTTCTGCTATATTATCTTCTTTTATTATCATTTCTTCACATTTCTTTACAAAATCCAGTAATTGGAAAATTTCACCTTCGGTTTGCAATATCCGCAAACCTTCAGATTCACGGCTATTATCTTCATCACCATGAAATGTAGTAGCTGGCCATAAATAATGTCAAGCATTTCTTAAAAGTATCTGGAGGAACATCCTTCTGTGGTCTTATGTTGCTCCACATGAGAGATTTCATGCTAAAATATTTCAAAAAATTCTTGAATAGTTTTTCCATTATTCAGGTAATTTAACATGGATTTTTAAAATGCTACTTTATATTTGCATTTCAGCACTTGCACTATTACAATATTCATAGGCTGAATGATGGACACTCAATTTGGAGAAAAGAATAATATGGATACATTATCTTTCTCTAAAACTTTAAATGAAATGTGAGCCGAACAGCTCTCTATCTACAATCAGGGCAATTTTTGTGTCAACCGAATTCAAATGCAGCCGAGCCACGGGTATGAATGATTTTCAAAACAATCATTCATTAAAGCTTGTCATCGATGCTGTTTTATTTGCAGGATATATAAAGAGGAAAATCTTTACTACTTTAAATGATCGAGGTCCTGTATTTTTTCCGCTTACAAAAAGTCTACACTTGTGTGTTCCTATCGCATTTGCACATGCTAAAACTGTTACTCTCACTTTGGAATCTTTGATACCAGTTGGAGTCTTTTCTGTAGAAATTGTCAAGTATTGCCATGAACTAGTCAAATTACATTTCACCAGTTCATGGCCAGAGACCAGTTTCAACAGAATTGTAAATTTGTTCTGGAGGCAACTTTTCACCATTAATGAGTTCAATGAATTCATCTGCAAAGAGTTTAGCAGCTTCAGTATCAGCTGCAGCATTTTCAAATGAAATTTTTAACTGCCTTTTACCATGATGATTTTAAAATTTGGTTAACCAACCTGTTGAATATGCACATTCATTTTTTAAGTTCATTTCTTCATGAAGTATTTTGGCCTGCCATTAGCATTGGCACGTCAATGGCACGCCCTCGCTGCGACGCTGTTTGATCCATTCACTCATCCCTTTTACAACAAATTTTCATAACAAATCATTTTGCTATTTGATTTGTTAAATATTTTGTGTTTTCATTGCAAGTGGGGTGTCGGAAATCACAAAACATTCAAAAAGTCCCTTTTTTTGTTATCTTATGTCGTATGCAGTTGACTTTCCCACTGCCATACTCTTCAAAATTTTGAAACTGATATACATTTACCTATTCTTTTGCAGTAATTCCACCTTTTGTTTAATGGACATTGCAATATGTTTTCGCTTTGTAAATCCTGTTGCAGCTCCAAATTATTTCAACATAATAAAAAATTCAAACATTTAATTTTTATAATATTCCTGTAATAACAGCCTGCAAAAAATAATGAGCTGGAGCAATTCAGAAAGCTAAGGAACAGCACAATCTGCTATATTAACTGAAATTCTTTGGAATCAGAAAAGTATAATTTTAAGCCTAGCTTAATAGCGTCTCCTATAGATTACTGCCTATATATCATGAGATTGTCAATGGAAGACAAGTTGTTCCGCTAAATTTTGTCTTGCTTCTGTCGCACACTGAGACAATCAAACTTGAATTGTATTAGTTATTTATTATACTTACTTCAATTTTTTGCACATGCTTAAGGCTTATCTGACTCCTGAATAAATAAATTTCCAATTCTTAACCCCTTTGCGCCGGGTAGCGCGATCACGCGCTTATCGCGGAGGCCTGCAGTGGCTTACGCGAGCGTCTGTCCAGGGCCGAGGGCTTTTTTGCTATTAAGCCTAAATCCATGAAATTTCCGAAGTATCAATGCATTGTTTAATAATGCTCTATAGAGTATTTAAATGGCTTATGCTTCATAGATATTTTTATATATACTTTAATTACCTTATTTCTTGTTTACATGCACATTTTACACATTTTATTTTCATTACTCACCATTATGAAAAATTTGAAAACAGGGATCCACACACAGTCCTACGTTACATTCCTTGGACTCGTAATAACGACATTGATGATGACGACATTAATTAATTAAGGATTAATGATGATGAGGAATTTTGGACTTCTGTACGCCGACGTACTCGGCATACTCCGAAATGTCCTCGTCATCATTAGATTCGCCAGATTCTTTATGATCAGAATATATCAGTGTCACTATCACTACTATCAGAATCTGTTTCAGAATCAATATCTGAAATATTTTGCATCATTTCTGCTATTTCATGCTCTGTTAAACATTTTCGACGCTTCGACATTGCAATGGTAAAAACAGAAAGAATTCATGTCTAACAAGATCTAATTATTTTCTAAATACTGAACACGTGTATGTGAGTCATGCTTCTCTCATTTTGAGTAGAAGGTCTAATGTACACGTATCTGAAACCATATGAATATACAGTGCCATCTTGTGGCAGAAATTATAGTTTTTAAAATGTTCCAGGACACTGGCACAAATACGTGACAGTCGGGGCTGAACGGGAAAATGCTCTGGCACACCTGCGTGTCGGCCAGGAAGTGAGTGTGTTCGTTGCTGGCACGTACACGTGACAGTCGGCGCGAAGGGGTTAAGGCTTATCCAGGGCCGGCACTAGATGTCTTACTATTTGATGCAATCTCTGCGGGTCCTAAATTCTGCTACCAAATCCTTCCTAAGCCCTAACTTTTTGCTACCCCTAAATTTTAGGCTCCATTGCTTTAACTAAATTCTAAAAATTTTGTCTTCCCTAAATTTGGCCATATGAGCTCTGGCGCCAGTTCTGGGTTTATGTTAATAACAATTCAGTTATTTTTAATTCAAATAGCACTAAATATAATATTTTAGCCTATGAGTATCATGAACAAAATCTGTTTTGAGCATATGGAAAGAAATTTTTTGTCATGAACATTTCTTAGCGGATTTGACTTGGATCATCAGGAAGCGTATTGTCAACATTAAAAGCTACCATACTCCTTTGTTATTCAGTTACTAATATAAGAAAAATTGTTTAGGCATTGCTGCATAAGTCACTATTGAAGTTGTCATATGCTGATAAACATGCAGTGATAAAAGCAAAATATAATAAATAATGATTTGCCAGGCTGGCATCAGGAATAAGAAATATTAGTAGGTGTAAAGTCAACAATGTTTCTCTGTAGAATGTTTCTGTTTGAGATGTATGCCAAGCAGATACACAGCTACAAAGCCAAATTATTGATCACACAAATTTATGCTAAAATAACTTTCTTTAATAACGAGGTATTTTTTTAGTACCGAAGAGAAATTAAGAATCGGGCTTCTTCGTGTGTTTTATTACCGGAGGAGGAAAAAATCAAGTGTGCCTATATATATTTTATATAAAGCATAAAAAAATATTGGTGGCTTTGAGGTCTGTCAGTTATCAGAAACCACAAAGTTACTATATCCAGGTAAAGATTCTAAAAATGGTGAACATAACATACAATCTTACCTTCATCTCAAAACAAAATTTCCCTTTTGAACTTCCATGAGTAGCTCGGGCTCCAGCCCACATGAAAGCAAAACCTTCATTTGTCAAAGGATGAGCAGAATATTTTGATGCATCAATTACTAAATTCAAGTCAGAATTATCTGAAAAAGCAAAGTCTGATTAGAAAAATGTTTGTGTGTATCTTAAAGTAACGGTCTGAAAGGTAAATGCAAATTAATATTGATATGGTTTTGTAACATAGCAGAAATACATACTTATATGGCATCAAAATATTTACAATTCAGAACATCAAGTATGCTTATTTACTGGCAGCTCCAGTTAAACAACACAAAGCAAGATTACCTTAGTGACTTGAAATATGCCAAAATGATATTCTGAATGGGTTTTATAAAATATTTATGGAATGAGAGCTAACCAGACATGGTATATAGCTAAGATACTCACACAAAAAATATAGCAAAAACATTTCATAATTACATTTTGAATTTAGAATGATACTTGTTCAATTATACAGATACATTATTTCGAGGGGGAATATCATAATCAATGATTGAAGTCAAGGCCTTAAGGTTCCAACTAAAGTGCTAGGTTCATATACTGAAATCTTGCTTTCTTTTGCAACACTATGTTTACAGAATTTTTTGTATATCTATGCTTACACACATTAAATTGATGGATATGGGAAATAATGCATTTTCTTTGAAAAATTATTAATTTTAAAATCCTTACAATCTCAACACTTGAATTACCGATGTAAATTTTTAGTTGGTTTTAATCAATGTTAAAAAGTTATGATAGTTTTAACGCAGACTTCAACACAGCAATCTTCACTGATACTAACTATTCCCTCCAGCAATCCAGTATCTCTTCTTAAAATTACTCATGATGACTAAGGCTATTTCATCAGAATAAAGTAAAACTAGCACTTTCCTCTAATTCTATAATGACATTCCTAATACTCACAACAGTTCTTTCTTCTTGATCGTCTCTACTTGCACACACTGAAACCTTTTCTAAAAATGTCTCGACACACTGACTGGATCACAATTCAAATTGTTCTTTAGTCTTGAGCCTAACATTTTACATGTACGTTTTGTGCACGTATGACTGACACATAATCAGACATGACATACTCCTTGCTCTGGTGAACTGCAGTGCATTGAGATTGGGTTTGAAGTTATCGAAAGATATTTCCACAATTAAGATTTTTATTTAATATCTACATTCTAACAACTTTCACATTTTTCACTAGGAAAATAATTTAATAAAAAAGCCGATTTCTTACGATTAACGATTAAACTAGCTTCCCTATCAAAATGACCATATCTGTAAAAATAGGTATAAATCATACAGAACCTCCAAAATGAAAGGGATGAAGCGGATATAAATTTGGGTATATACAGTACAAAGTCCAAGATCCGGACGTCCAATATCCGAACCTTAAAGCCACTAACAAAATTTTTTTAGGAATTTGTTTTAATGCTTTACGCATGCACGTTTTATTTTTTCCCCCTGTAAGAAAGCATGTGGAGAAGCCCGATTCTTAATTTCACTTCAGTACCAAATAAAATACCTCATTATTGAAGAAACAATTATTTTAACATAAATTTGTGTGATCAATAACTTGGCTCTGTAACTGCATATCTGCTTTTCCAATAAATGGATTTTGTAAAGAAATGTGGAGAAGTGGTAATAAATGAAGATATAACAGAAGTTTTTCATTGCGATGGCAGTGTTCCAATCATCAATCAATTAACGGACGGTTAAATCCATAGTATGGTTCTAGATCCAGAAAATACCATTACAAATAGTGAAGAAAATGACTAGAGGATATTGAAAATGAAAAAAATTTGACTGACAAGTTAGTCAGAATTCTCAACACAGCAACTACAGGACAATGGAACTTCGTAACTGAACAAGAAATTATGTTCGTCTACATAATTTGAAAAGAAATATTGGCACAAAAAATGAAGCAGCTTAAACAATTCACATTCAAAGAAATGTTTAATTAAGAAATAAATATTAAGCTTTTTTTTTGTAAATTTTGATACCCCTTTAGATCAGCGGTTCTCAACCTTTTGACTAACACGTACCATCTAACCAAAAATTGAAAACCTTTAGTACCACCACTACTCTTGAACAAAGCTCAGATCACATAAATTTATGAGTGTTAGAGAAAAAACTCGATCAGGATGTTGGGGTTTTAATTTTTTAATTAAATAGTTAGCTTTTTTGTGTACCACCTATTTTTCTCTTGCGTACCATCTGTTGAGAATCCCTGCTTTAGATCATAGATGGTTCATTATTTCATATTTTTAATTTTATAACTTCTGCATGCCATCTCACTAAATTTAAACTGATTATCTAATATCCGGAAAAATCCCAAATCCGGAATCATCGAAGTCCCAACGAGTTCGGATCTCGGACTTTGTTCTGTATTCGCCTCATTGTTAGCATAAATTAGAAACTAGAAAAATGATGGTTTTTGTAATTTCACTCAGGAAGTCTGAAATCCGTCAAAACGACAGATCCTTTAAATCCATTAAGAATATGGATTTATGAAGTTTATTGCTAAAATTTTAAATATGAGATGCTGCATAAGAACCTCTAAAAACTACATATAATCTGTTTGTAGCAATGTTGAATAATATTAAAATTGGCTAAAATACAACTGGTTGAAAGTGGCTATAGTGAAAAATATTTAAATAATAATGTTTTAAAAAAATCAATGTCTTAAATATGATACATTTTCTTTAAAATATTACAGGGAGACGCTATTTTTAAACAGAAAACTAATATTTTGCAATGTAGTGAATGCTACATCCTTTTTGTGACATGGAACGGGTAGAGAAAAATAACATTTTGTGATGTATAAATAGCTATGACCCAGAATAGGTAACAGTGGCAAATACCCAGAAGACAGGAAGGTGAGATGGTGCTAATTCTTTTGAAACTATGACGATCAGTATAAGAATTCTACCTTTCTGGATAGATTAAAAAAGAAATTTGTTTTATCAGACAGAAGCACAATTTAAAATTAACGGTATAACTAATGATGATACCAAGTTTTACTACATGGCCTCATAAATGGAACCTAAATAAATACACTGTTTGGGACATAACCGATAAGGCTGAAAATAAATATTCATTGGCAAAAGAGCATCTATTAAATGTATTCAAAGAAAGTGAAAATGAATGTAACAAGAAATCTTTTCACTAGCATTGAAATTGGCAACATGAAGGCAAGTCATCTATTAAAAACAATGAAATCCTTCGCAACAAATGATACTTCTGACAGGGTATTAAAACATATTGCTCTAGCATTGCTTTTGCACTTGTATTAGTGGTTAGTGATAGAGGTACTGATAAACTGGCGATTATGGCTGATGAGATATTTGATAATGCATTCCCAAATTACACCAGTACCAAAGCACACCAGCATGAAGTTAAGAATTTGAGCGCATCACCAAATACCATTTTCACAATTACTGGAGCAGATATTTTCATTGAAATAATGAATTGAAGATCTCCATTTCCATCATCAGCCAAATGATAGGAGTAGTACAGAAAGAAATAACAGATCAGTGTCTAGAGGCAGAAGACGGAGGCGATACAACCCAGATGATAAACTGTACTATTACAGCTTTACTTCTGGATCAAGATGGTTTCCAGGAAAATGTATGCCACCATGTAACTTGAAATACCAGGATAACTGTGCAGCAGAATCAAAAACAGCAGCACACTAGAATAACCATAAATTCAGTTATAGACACTTTGTAGACAAAAAAGGGGGATAAAATTTTTGGTTGACAGTGGTGCAGTTTAAGTCCAATTCTAGCTACATGTAATGACAAAATAAGTGTTGACATTATGCTACAAATAGTACCAAAATCCTGTGCTTTGGGCACAAAATTTTAAATCTCGATTTGGAACTTTGCCACGATTTTCTACTGACTTTTGGCAGCAGATTTTTTTTAACCAGCCTAATTTATTGATTTGATATTAAAAACAAAAATGTATTGACGGTGCAACAAAACTCAGCATTACTGGTGAAATTACATTGTCAGCTAATGAATCAAATATGATAATATGGATTTTTGGAGGGGCAATGTTATTATATTTCCAGGCATGGAAGGTTTCTTTAAAAAATATGACATTTCGGGAACAGATTACTGTGATAGTTTCCTTGATTAAGTGTTGTACCCTTCATCTCCATCATACCCAAGAGAGACCCTAGTTCCTTTTTGTCAATCTTTCCCCTCTTCTAAACTGGAACATGAGCACAGCAAACTGATCTAATAATACCTACATTTTTTATTCTAGGTTTTTTTCTCATCCATAACTCATACGGATTTGAATTAGGAACTGAAGACTTGCCCATCCTATTCAGTACGCATACTGAAGTGCTGACGTTTTTTCTGCCCATAAGAAAACTAGAAAGTTCACTTCTTCATTCGAATATTTGAGAGTTCTGGCCATTTCGAGAACTGTTCTGCCCTATTGTTCAGCTTTGCCACGTTGCTCAGGTGTACATGGAGCTGTGAGCCTCTGCGAAATTCCATGCTTTTTCAAGATCTTTCGAACTAATTGGTTGTCAAACTCCCACCATCACCACTGAAGATTTCTTTAACTTTATGCCCTAAGTTCTAAGTATAAGCTATGAAATTTTCAAGCAAATCTTTTACTTCTGATTTGTGCTTTAAGAAAAAAACAGCATTAAAATTTGGTGTAAGCATCTTTGAAGATTGTGAAATATTAAATTTCATGAATGATCAATCAAATGGCCTACAAGTATCTGTCGAGATCAATTCTTCAGCTTCTGTAACCTCTTTTCTGCTTCTAAAGTTTAAACGGTGGGCTTTTCCATATACACAGACTTCACATAATTTCGTATCAGACTAACTCTTTCTCAAGAATGGCCTTTACATGCTTTTTATCTTGGTGATCCTATCGTTCATTATAAAGGTGAAAAGTTTATTTATTATTCTCAGTCACATTCATGTCAATGTGAGTTTTAGGAGCAAAGGACTTCATTATGGCTTTGAAGAGACCTTGTACCATGCAGAAATATTTCGCCATGTATTTTTAAACAGTCCTTTAATGTTGATTCAAACACACTGTTTTGGTTTCTATCTTGAGT